TAATTTTCTGTCAATTACACCAACAACAATTCAACCAATAACGATGCGTAAGTTCATCAAGAATACTTTCTCTAAAAGTTAAACATATGCAGTCAATGATACTCTATGAGCTCATATCGCTGTTTTACTTTTCCTCATATTTTTTACTTGAAGCCCGAGAAGAAAGCTGTACGCTGCTTTTGTCTAAAGCAATGCATTTTGTACAAATTTGTGTCGTAATGAAAAAAGTGCACACGAAGGAGGAAGAGCAAAACGAGTGCAAAGAGTGCGGTATTCTATTTGAAAGGAGGTAAACCATTGTCGGTTCATTATTGACAACTGCATTTTTAACTCATTTTAACAGCAAATACTTTGAATTCTTCTAGCTTTAACGGAGCCTTCCATTTCGTCGTCTTATTCAAATTCACTTTCATCAAACAGTGGAATATTTCAACGAGTTTATGGTGATCCAGAATATTTCTACTACTTTCACGCTATTCAAGTCACTGTATCAACATCTGGTACTTACACTTTTACAAGTGATAGTGATCTAGATACTATGGGCTACTTTTACGATACTTCTTTCGATCCATCGGTTCCAACTGAGAATTTGATAACTGATGATGATGATGGCGGCGACAGCAGTTATCAGTTTCTTATTGAAGCTTTCCTCGAAGCTGGACACACATACATTCTAGTTGTCACAACTCATAGAGAATCCGAAACGGGAAGCTTCTCAGTATCTGCCAGTGGTCCAGATACTGCTAATTTTCTGTCAATTACACCAACAACAATTCAACCAATAACGATGCGTGAGTTCACCAAGAATACTTTACCTGCGAGAGAAAAATATGCATTCGGAGATACTTTTTGAGCTTCTACCACTGTGTTTCTTGTCTTCATAGCGTTCACTTATAGAGCAAACACGAAAAAGGAAGAGCAGCAAGAGTCGAAAGACTAGGAATATTCTATTTGGAAGGACGCAAATCACTGTCGGTTCATTATTGACCGGAGCATTTTTAATTCTTTTTAACAGCAAATGCTTTGAATTATTCTAGCATTAACTGAGCCTTCTGTTTCATCGTCTTTTCCGAGTGAATTGTCGGCCAACAGCTTGGTATTTCATCGACCTGATCGTGATCCAGAGTATAACTACTACTATCAGGCTATTGAAGTCATTGTATCCACATCTGGCACATACACATTCACAAGTGACAGTGAACTCGACACAATGGGATATTTTTATGATACTTCTTTTGATCCATCCAATCCAGCTGCAAATTTGATCACTGAGAATGATGATGGCGGTGAAATCAGGTTACAGTTTCAAATTGAAGCTTCGCTTGAAGCTGGACACACATACATTTTGGTTGTTACAACTCATGGAGAATCAGAAATAGGAAGTTTCTCGGTCTCAGCTATTGGTCCAGCCTCCATTGGTCTTCGATCGAGCACACCATAAACACCCAAGACAATGAACTGCTCAATATTTAATTCGTTTTTTTTTTGGGAAATTTAATTTTGTCATTTTGCATATACATATATGGAGAATGATTCATTCTGAATAGAGAAGCATTCCTGAGATCTTTTGTTCTTGCATTTTTTGAAATTTGGTACATTGATGGTGACATCTATTTGAAAAACAAAAACAATTATATTTTGGAGTTTCATGTGGATAAACAGATTTTGTTAAAAAAGACACGATATACCTGCTGATAGAAAATGTCTATCCCAACAGTCTAGATGCAGAGCTTCCCATAGAGCGACCGAACAAAAAGAGCTTGAACAACAACCTATTTCTTCTGAGCTTAAGAAAACTAAAGTAAGCATAACCTATTTAAATAAGAACAGATGTATGTGCATGCTTGTAAGAGATCTAGATTTCACCAGGCTATAGAGCTCACCGTGAGAAGCTGATCAAAAGAAATCTTTGTTATTCAAAGTGAAAAAATTAATCACATTCAGACTTAAATACTTCAAATTGGCATTATTGAAAAGTCCAATGATGAAGTAATATTCAACGTATCACTGTTGATCGATTTCATTAACGCTTTCTTGTCATCAGTTGTCGTTCATTCGGACGATTGGCAGCTGCTTATTGAACGAGCAAGTTCAACGAGTAGCAAGTTAGTATGTTCAAATAAAATATTAGATATGACTGTTACTGTTCTCATTCTTTCGTTCTTCGTTCTCTAATGAACTACTTGATTGTAATTTCATGTACTTTCAAACATCAAGGCATGTTTAGGATGTAGATGTTGGTGTGTCTGTTGGTATTGTCGTTAGTGCTGATGTAGACGTAGGAATCGTTCAAGATGATGCCGACAATCATATCCACACTCTCAAGTTATTCATACTTGAGCTTTATTTAGGAACCAATAAAAATTAATGAAAAACGTTTCTTTTGACAACGTTGGTTCTAAATAGCCCAGACAGAAGCCTAGTCACATAACATATTTATGACAGAAATTATAGATTTTCACATTCTATCAGATGGCATTAAAATAAATCAGAAAAAAGTTGCTGAATACATCGAATCTTCCACAACATCTGTTTTTGAGAAGTCTGTCCCTATGTCTCAGTTTTTCAATCAGAGTTAAGCTTTTGTAAAGTAATAATTTGTGTACTTGCAATCAGTGAGCGGGTGTTAGTAAAGAGAAAAGCAATACTACACTCACTCACATCATTTATATTGAATTTTAATAAAATCCTCTCCTGTTTAAATTTGGTATGGGTATAAGAGAGTTAAAAAAATCACTGTCATGCAAAAATATGTTGATTTTTGAGGTTATGAAACAGTTTATTTGTTAAATTGAGCAAGCAACAAGTTAGAGATATCTGCAAAGTAGAAATAGCGCATTTAATGTTGATCGTTGTTAGGCTCGTCGATTATTTTTTGTGCTAGTTTTTATTTTATAAAACTCTTCTTTGTATGCTGAAAATGGCAAAAGGAATCCAATAAAACCAAGTAATTGAGGTGAATAAGAAAGAACGTAGGCCAATAATAGAAAGTACGATTAGTAGTGTCATAAATATATCTCTGCTTGCTTTTAATTATTTCACAAATATCTCTCGATACCTTCGATTTGTAATAGTATGTACACCATGACGAGCAGTCGTTACAACGAGAATGGTAATACGCAAAAACTAAATACACCACGCTACAAGCTAATGAATGAAAGTTTATATGTAATAAGTAATTGACCAAATAGATATTCATGTGGCTCTCTGTCTAATTTATATCTACAGGTATACATACGATGGATTATACAAAATGACAGAATTTACTTTTCATTGCCATTTCATACAGTTTTCATTAATTTCAGTCAATTTTCATTAAATACTCATCATCAAATTCTGTTCACATTGGTCTGTCTCGTCCAACATATGCAGCTTCTTTCGGTTTCTAAACCAAACATCACTTAAATCAAGTATGATAGTCAATTCTCACAGTTTTCTTTTTTTTTCTCATAGAAATATGTTGATATAATCCATAAATGAGTTTGAGCGAGATATGTTTTAAGCGTACACTTGCATTTAGTCGATTGTAGCTAGAGATTCATGAGATCCAAGCTCTGGCTCAGTGTTCCTAACAAATAATTTGCGTTCTGGTTCTGTTACGAAAACCATTTAATCACTATGTGGATATTGGTATAAGTGCCGACCTTCTATCTATCCACATCTACACCCCAACATGCCATCATTACCTTCGGAAAAAATTTAGATTTAAAATGATCTTTTTTATCAACACTTAAAGGCAAAGACGATTTGAAAAAATAAAACAAAATTGGTATACTCAATTCCTTGTTCGAACTGCAACAAAATATATATTGGGGAGACAAAATGAAAGAAGGAAGCTCAAATGATGGCATACTGTGCGAAGACCCGATCATTGGCATTAGACTTGAAAATTGCTAAACATGTTCAACAACACGGACATGAATTTCACTTTTCCAAAGTTGAAACACTTCCATGAAAAACAAATGGGAAAAAGAGACTTATAAAAGAAAGTATCTTAAAAAACGAGACCTTCGGCAATGCTATAAATGGTACTAGATGCATATTCCTTATATTCCAATAGTCCTTCTACGAGCGAGTACGATCATCTAGTCTTTTATCTTCTTCGAAATGATCATATAATCCTTGCACATTTGATTACTCATCACATGTACTGTAAGCGAATAGAAAAATTCTAGATGTCATTTGATTGTTCTTATATATATAATTAATTTTTTTCTTTCTTTTTGATCTCTCTTCTTATACATAAACTACCAGTTGTGTATTTTCATATTACCGTTTTTAGAAGATGTTTTCAGAAAGGAACATGAATGCTTGAATCTAATGACATCTATTTGAAATTACAATAAAATGTTATTTAGAGCACCTATATATTCATTTTTGTCGGTCGAATTTGAGTCTCAACGCATAGGTAGTGTTTGTTCCCTATCATATCTGCAACTAAAATCATCGATTAAATATTTTTATTTCGAAAAATACTCTCGACCGAACACAGCAATCACTCGGAAAACATACTCAACTTTATGTGTGAAGTATCGACGTTTTTCTTTTTTTTCTCTTTTGTTCTCTTTATCACGCGCATGGATTTTCGCCTATATATAGCTAAAAAAAAACATACATACATGCACACATTCGTTTTATTTCATCGTATACATATATTTTTTTCTACACAAGCACATTATGAAAGGCAATCAACTAATTTATCTATGCTTTTTGATCAGCATTACAGTAACAGTTGGTGAACATTGCAAATGTGAATCAACTAATAAAAAATTTCCTGACTCTACAGCTTTCCTATTTTTGGATTATGAAGTGGTGGCTTTGGGCCTGATGCCAAATTCAGCAGCAAAAACTTCCTTTATCAGCCAATCACTTGCCTGGCTTCAAGCTGTGAGAGCTAGTGGCCGTAGCTCGACTCGGATCATGTTTTCCCGTGTTGAATTTCGACCTGGTTATCCGGACGTCTCATGCCAAAATAAACAACTTTCAGCCATTACAAAATTAAATCTTGCTATTGCAGGAACGCCGGGTACCGAATTTTACCCTGGCTTCCAACCAGAGTCAAATGAAATACAATTTGTAAAACATCGTATATCAGCTGCGTATAATTCTGAACTTTTAACATTGCTAGACTCACGATGTATTAAAACAGTCGTTTTGGCTGGATTATCTACATCGGGTGTTATTTTATCAACTACACGTCAATTGGCCGATATGGATTTTCGTATTTATATTTTACAAGATGCTGTTATTGATTCAAATTCAACTGTTCATGATGTTTTACTGCATTCAGTTCTTTCAAGCCAAGCTAATATAATGACGGTCGATGCAGCTAAAAACATGTTATAAATATGTGACGATCAATACTAATACCAGAGAGAACAATTTTTGAACATCTTTATATAAAACTTTGAATTTATTTAGAATTGCACTTTTTTTCAAACAAAATCTGTTGACTGTATTATGATTACAATTTATTTTTCGTTTTACAAATAACCTACTTTTTTATGCGTGAACAACTTTAATATTATTAAGCTTTGTGAAGGACCTAATTATGCGTAAAAATATTTTATGTTTTTTTTTGCATTAATAATTTTTTTCTCAATCTTGAAACGGGTGCGATCATTTTGGCCGTTGACTCAAGAAATTTTACTTGATAATAGTTTAATTTCTCAATATGAGCAGCAGACTCAAAGAAAATGTGTCATATTTGGAATGTGCCGTAGTCTATTGGCTAACTATTCATTCTCTGTTTTGCTTTGCATGTGCAGCTACCTATAATTGAACTGGTGGAGCATACTAAACTAAGGCATTTTCGAATATTGTTGTTTCTAGATTATTTGTCGATTATCCACTGATCAAAGACACATTCAGAGATTGATCAATGTTCAACAATGGATTGTCTTGAAGCGGTATGATCGGAATCAAACCTACTTGAGCTGCCTAACTTTAAGATCTTAGAGCTTTGGGCTCAAAGAATAGATATTACTGATTCCAATAAAATTGAGAAAGTAGTAATTACTTGATTCTGAAGAAAATATGTCAAATGTATCGAAGAGTAGATTGGAACCCCTTTTTCGAAATGTATTTCAGGTTCGCTGAGAGAAACACATCGCAACGAACATCTTATACACCCGTCGACAAAAGTCTTTTCCTCTTTTTCTGCCGATTTTTTCTGTGCTGCCATATTTTATATTAAATTCATTATCAAATCCAGGTATGGTTTAAATGTTTTATTTTAATACGATATATAACCGCCATGTGCTTGAATTAAGCACTGTAACGTTTTTTCATACTATCAACTAATACACTACTGGTCAAAAGTATTGACCGACCTCGGATCTCAGTTCCTATACGTACTGTGGCGTTGAAATTTGCAGTTTATATGATTCTTGATAAATATAGATCAACAGCAAAATCTGCGTCCCGAAAGAATGAGTTACAAGAGAGTTATTAGCCGAACGGTGTGTCACCATTGTAGACTCTATGACTTGGTAACAACAAAACTTTTTGAGCCAAAACTTTCGCCATTTTAAAGCCCAATGTATTAGCTATCTCTGATAAAAATCTCATCAATATTCATCGAGTTTTTGTGAAACTACACTCATTTTACTAAAGGCATGGGTGACATGAAAAACCGTCAGTAAGCAATATGTTCACCACAATTCAGTCTGAGATCGATATATAGACTCCAAACTTATAGCATAAGATATTCCTTATATATCAGCATTCTCTAAACTTTTCAGTCTTATATCACTTACTGGAAGGGAATGACATTATGCTGAATGTGTAGATGTTGTCACAGATTTAGATACTCGAATGCTTAAGTAAATGGCTTCATCTTTCAAGTATATAAACAGCATGCTTAGAGGCATAGTTCTATCGAAAAGCAATCGGAAAATTCGCAAGGTAACACAGAAAACGAGAGATGAACTTTCTTAGTCATTTTTTTCCACTATAGAAACATTTTTCTGTTATTGTTTTACCCTCTTGAGAAAATATCATGAAGAGAGGTTTTTTCCTTGTTGACAAGACTTGAAGGTTATTTACTCACCGGGATCGTATCTGTCAACGGTCTTCTGAGTGTTTTCGTGGTGATGATGAGTCAGTACAAGTATCAAAGTGAGAATTAGGGTGATAGTACATGTATAATTGTGAAAAGGATTAAATCCTCACGCATAATCATAATGGTGTCTACTATAGTGGAAAACAATGACTAAGAAAGTTCATCTCTCGTTTTCTGTGTTACCTTGCGAATTTTCCGATTGCTTTTCGATAGAACTATGCCTCTAAGCATGCTGTTTATATACTTGAAAGATGAAGCCATTTACTTAAGCATTCGAGTATCTAAATCTGTGACAACATCTACACATTCAGCATAATGTCATTCCCTTCCAGTAAGTGATATAAGACTGAAAAGTTTAGAGAATGCTGATATATAAGGAATATCTTATGCTATAAGTTTGGAGTCTATATATCGATCTCAGACTGAATTGTGGTGAACATATTGCTTACTGACGGTTTTTCATGTCACCCATGCCTTTAGTAAAATGAGTGTAGTTTCACAAAAACTCGATGAATATTGATGAGATTTTTATCAGAGATAGCTAATACATTGGGCTTTAAAATGGCGAAAGTTCGGGCTCAAAAAGTTTTGTTGTTGCCAAGTTATAGAGTCTACAATGGTGACACACCGTTCGGCTAATAACTCTCTTTTAACTCATTCTTTCGGGACGCAGATTTTGCTGTTGATCTATATTTATCAAGAATCATATAAACTGCAAATTTCAGCGCCACAGTACGTATAGGAACTGAGATCCGAGGTCGGTTGATACTTTTGACCAGTAGTATAGTTTTACATTTAATTGTCATGTAAACGAACTCATACGCATTAAATTCACATAAATACATCAGATATAATAAATAGTTTTATTTTTATTTTTATTTTCATCTAAACAAATTCATAAGCATTAAATTTATATATATATATGCATCAGATAAAATAAATAATTTAATTTTAATTTTAATTTTAATAAATTCATAAGCATCGAATTCCATTAATGCATCAAATAAATTTAATAATTTAATTTTTATTTTCATCTAAACAATTTCATAAGCATTAAATCCATATAAATGTATCAAATAAAATAAATAACTAATTTAATTTTAATTGCAATAAAATCATAGACATTCAATTCATATAAATACACCGAACAAAATATATAAATCATCGAGTTCGATCGATCAATGTTTGAGGACGATTACTTTTGCACATCTGATTTTAGTGCAATGGTAACAGGTCGTGAACATTTGCGTATCATTCATCCAGGTCATTTAATCAGACCCCAGGTCGAAAAGTACCGGCCGGTTCCCGCAGGAAAACACCGGAAATAGCCGGAACATGGAAGCAGTATTCCGGCCGGAAATTTTCGGAATTTTTTCCGCTGATTCTCCGCTCGGTTCCTGCCGGAAAACACAGGAAATTGGCCGGAATTCACCGGAAAAAATCCGGAGAATTTCCGGCCGGACTACTGCTTCCATGTTCCGGCTATTTCCGGTGTTTTCCTGCAGGGTACGGTGATTTTTCCCGCATTTTCTTGCCGGTTCCTGCAATATCCGGTGGCCGGAACGATCGACCTGGGACCTGTAGATCCTACCGGAAACTGTCGGATCCGATATCGGATCACGCCGGAATTCGTCGGATTCCCAACTAAATCCGATCGGAACCCAACCGTACTTCACAGGATTCCTAACTAACGGATTTCGGATCGGATTACGTCGGAAAGGATTCAATCGGTTCCTGTCGTAACTGCTTGTCAGATAATGCCGTAACCACCAGGATCTTTTCACAGAGAAACGCCTGATAACGTAAGGTTCCGACAGAATACAATCGGATTTCATTAGAAGTTGACTGAATCTGTTTCGATTGCACGAGGATTCAATCAATATGTCACACAGATTTCATACAAGTATTCTCAAAATTTCCAAATATTTACTAGAGATTTCTGAGAATTTCATCCAATTTTCCTCAAGATTTCTAAAGATTTTTCAAGGATTTCATCAAAATTTCTAACGATTTCTCAAGGATTTCATCGAGATTTCTGAAGATTTCGCAAGGATTTCATCAAGATTTATAATGATTTTCCAAGGATTAAATCGAAACTTTTGTACAGATTTCACTAGGATATTATCAAAATTTCTAAAGATTGCACCAAGATGTCACCAAGAGTTTAAACGATTTCTAGTGTTTCAACTGGGATTATTCCTGGAATCCAACAATGTATATACTACGATCCTTCGTAAAATCGCACAATACTTGTACTAAGATCGTTCTTAATATATAGAACTTAATTAAAAAAAATTGCAGAATTCACTTGATATATGAAAGTAGAGACTTCCTTATATAGATCGATATCCTTAAAACAAAACGGTGAATGAAATCTGGACAAAATCGGATTTCCAGATTTTTGATTTTGTTCTTGGAAATTTGTAAAAATAGAAATATCTAATTAATTAATTAGCTGATTGATCTGTCAGAATATATTCTAATTCATGAATCCGATTACGTGGAAAATATTACTGAATACCCAGGACGAACAATCCGACAGTCGGATCTCGTCGGATCCTATTGGAAAAATTATCAAATTTTATCGGATCCGATGGCAATTCGTCGAAATCCTTGGTATCGGATTCCGACAGGAAGTTGTCGGATGTCGGAAAGTGTCGGAAGTGGCCGGGATCTTGTCGGAACTCTAAAAATCCGACACTTTCCAACATCCGACAACTTCCGACGAATTTCCATCGGATCCGATGGGGTGAGATCGACCTGGGTATTTTGTATTCTTATATAATCCGACAAATTCCGATACCAGTGATTGATCGGTTTTATCATGGAATCCGGTGTCATGTGAAACCACAAATTCCGGCCATTTCTTGACATCAGATTCCCCTGAATTCCATCGGAAGCGAACAGATCCTGAGATCGGATTTGACCAGTTCCGAATACATGAACTTAGTCGGAACTCAATGAATCCGAACAGCGGATATCAAAGGAAAACAGTGGATAGCATCGGAATTCGACAAAAAGTAACCGACCGAATCCGATTAGCCGTATGTCAACGGATTTAAAACGTGTCCGACATAGCTATTTCGACCTGGGTTGGTGATAATTTTTCACTTTTTTTCCAATTATCGGTAGCCAATAGGCTATAATGGCACATAGAGAAATATGGAAAAAGAAGGAGGAGATGTACAGAAAAATAGGCTAATATGAAGATCAATATAAGTGTTAAAAGTCCAATAACCTCGTAAATGGTTGTGTGTGTGGGTTCGAAAAAGAGTTCCACACACTGACACGTCGAGCAGTAAGACAAAAACTTGAAAATAAATGTACTTCAGTCTATTGGTCGCAATTAAATGAGACGAAATACTGACTCATGCACTTTTTTTTCTTCTGCATACATTAACTAATAGTGACGAATATGTCTCTTATTGTCTTTTGCGTTCGTAGTTGTTTCTTTTTTGTTCGGTGAGAAAAATATAAACTGATGCAATTACTACGTCATTGAAAAGAAATCTTTTTTTCTTATAAAAATGAAAGACAAGTCTTTATCTGTATTTTACTGGAAGACATCTAACAAAAAGTGCAATTTCTTTTCTTTATTGTGGTAAGGATAGGTCATGGAAATCATACAACAAAAACAACTATTTATTTTCATTTATGTTCTTTCTCATGTTTTATTTTTCATTTTCTTTTCCCCTTTTACTTTCCGGTCAGAAATTTGAGTCCGCTCAATAGACCATTCCACCGACCTCTATCTGTTGCTGCGAGAATCACGCTGGTACAGGAAAGTCCTTATCGCTTCTTACATAGGTGCGTGATGTAACTGCATCAACTCATTCGAAAACAACCCAATGGTCTTTTTTCTTCAAGCATAACTTAGAAAACTTGATCAATAAGTCTTTCACATGGGATTCTCCAGACATGATCCAACCAACGTAGTTGTGACCGCTCAATACGAAGAAGTATTGGCTCAGCTTTAAGAGACTGCTGAATGGCCGAATTGCAAACTGTATCATGAAGTGTAGACATTCGCTGCTCTTTTTAGAAATCTCATTTCAGCTACCTGTATTCAAGATCGAATTCTTTCGAACATTACTCATTGCTCATGGTGATAGATGAAGATAGAGCGATAGACTTTTGATGTGTGAGTCTTCGTAGTTTTTTTCGGAATAATCTCAGTCGGCACACACGCCTCAAGGTTTGACTGACTACTAGACTCTCACGCAGCCTCGTCTCCAGGACTGACTTCAGGGATATGCCCCAATATCCTGTTACGTTACAAGCAGGTGGATTTGATTTGTCTTCTTCTATATTCTCTGATTTTCTTTATATTCTAGGAATATTGTTGTATGATAAGAAAATATGATTTGCTACACTAAAAGAATGTTTTCTCGGAAACCGACCAAAATAGGTTTCCAAGCGTTCGCAAACCGAAATAGATCTTCTGACCGATTCCAGAAACTTAAATACATTTCCAGGCTGATTTTGGAAATTTTTAAAAGGTTTTTGGTATTAAAAATGAGTTTTCGAAGTTCAAAAACCTATTTTGATCGTTTCCAAAAAAAAACTTGTTTTTTAGAGTGTATATCGTTGGCTTTGTTTTTCATTGCAGCAAATATCCGTAGCCTCAAATACAACTAATGGCATTACAAAATACCACTACTTCTGCTTCTATTATACCATCATCAATTAAAACTTGGCTAGAACCGAATGACATATGGATTCTTTCTCAAGATCGCGTAAAAGTACCTGAAACAAATTTAATTCCATCTATCTGCTTCTATAATGGTACTTTTCTTCCAATTCATGCAGGTCATATTAGTGTCCTGGAATATGCAAAACAGTACATTAATAATCTCGGTACACATGAATTGCTGGCTGCATATATATCTCCTTCACATTCTGAAGCTGTCGCAAAGAAATTAAGTCCAGAGGAATTAATTGGAGTCGGGCATCGTTTATCAATGATCTATTTTGCAATTGAAAATCTCGATTGGGTTATGGTAGATTTGTTTCAAATATTTCAACCATGCAAAATTTCATTAACTATTGCCATGGAAGCATTTATTTCACGTGTTCGCTCGCAACTTCCTAATGGAGCACAAATGGATGTGTTTTGGTTAAAAGGAGAAGACACGCTATTTCATACTAAATTATATGAAAACTTGATCCAATTGGGGTTTCATACAATATATGTTCTGAATCGAGAATGCAGTGAGAAAATAATTAACAAAACTGATGAATTCAAGCCTATTCAGGATTATCATGAAAAACGCTGGCGAGAAATACAAGCTATATCTTCTTTTCCCGAAAAGTATAGTCGTTAGTTTTCAAGTAATTTCATATTCATATTTTCTTGTCTCTTAGATTACATCTAGTTCAAGCAACACGATTGAATATTTCATCTAGGACTATTCGAGCCTGTGCACGCAATACCTTTGCAACACGTGACCAACTTCACGCATGTATCCAACTTGACAAAATCACCACCTACATCATACAACATCAATTATGGAGCACAAAACCTACTATAATGTCAGCTCCCTCTGTCTTTCCTAATGGAATTACAGATCTAACGCCTGAAATTCTTTCATCCATGCTCTCCACATATTCGATCTCGTCAGTGAAAGTAAATTCCTTTAGATTTGAACAGATTGGTGTTGGAACAGGTTGGAACGGATCTTTGTATCGCCTTAACGATATTCAATATTCGCCTGATAGTACGAGTTGTTTGCCATCATCTGTGATATTAAAACTGTCAACTGGTATTTGGCTACAGCGTGTTGCCTCGATTGAACCAGACTTTTATTCAAAACTTGCACCACGTATCTCTAATATCGAAATTCCGAAATGCTATTATGTCGCTCGTCATCCTCACTCTCCAAATGAGAGCATGTTGCTTCTTGAAGACCTTTCTATAGACTATGATCCGTTAGGTCCAAAGGAGTCGCTAAAAGATTCCACGATATTTCTTCTTATTGCCACAATTGCATCTTTACATGCAGAATTTTTCAATCATCCATTGTTGCAACAAGATACATTCGCATGGTTGCCTTCATTGAATTCAACACTTGTCCACTATCATAGTGAATATGCATTAAAAATGACCGATAGAGAATACACACAATTGTTAGAATCAAGAGTATCACCCAAAGCATATGCTTATGCCAAAGCACTTGTTACACATATTCCACATATTTTTCAAACACTTACCGATGAACATTATACTTTATCGCATGGTGACTTTTGGATTAATAATATCTTTGTACGACATAATCAGTCACATCGGTTCGTTCTATTTGATTGGCAGACATGTTGTCGCGCGAATGGATTGATTGATGTTGTATTTCTCTTACGCTTACTCGACGGTGATCGAGCTCGTCCACTCGAATCACCGCTTCTCGAAGTGTATCATCAAACGTTAGTGAAATATGGGGTTTCGCAGTACGATGCATCTGCCATTCGTGATGACTATTACTCATTGGCACTTCCATTTATGTTCGTTATTATTTCTTCCTTGAAAAGGCTAAAGGAAAGTAAGTTCAACAAAATAATAATGATGTTGGAAGATATTGTTGCTTATGGCAAGAAAAACGAACGAACAACATGCGAATGTGAATTATTTATATAAAGACAGAAAAACAAATAATAATCTTGAAAATAGTGTCTTGTCACTATGACTAATTTTTTTCTGTGTGTCATATTCTATTATTATCTTTTTATTATCACTATTCCTTTCTACCCGCTGATCATTTGCTTAAATGACATCTTGTCAAATAGAAACATGTATGATTGAAAAATTCCATAAGATTTAATAAAATTTTTCATATTTGGTACAAAATATAGTTAAAATTAATATCACATTCAGATCTATGTTGCATTAAAAGAATTGTTTCATGTGTTCTCAATGAGACTTTATCTTTGAGTTAGTAAAGATAAATTCTTTTTACTATTATGCTTGTAGTTTCTGCAATATGTAATAATTTGATATGCAAAATGATTGTTCATAAGAAATCATAATATTATAGATAGGCCAAAAGAAGATATACGAAACTGATGTTTTAACTTTTTTAAAATGTTGATTATTCTTATTTGAAACAATTTCTTTACATGATTTAGAATTCGTTTTTAATTGAAAGGAAGAATTAAGAAAATTCCGAAAAGTTTTCATCTCATTTGTTTTCAAGCAATCAAATAAAATATGATAATGAGGGTGGGTGAGTCGATGTGGGTGTGAGTAGATGTGACTTATCAGGCAGATATGGAATCTTCTTTCCAGTGACACCTACATTCCTCTTTAATATTTCAAAGTCGACTGAATTTTTCAGTCAAATCCGACGTATATATATGTATTTATCAAATGTTTCTATGCGGTTGCAGAAAAAGAACGAATGTATTGATTCATTCGGCTGTCTTATTTTTGCAGATCTTTTTCAACTTTTGACAAAATGGGATTCATACAGAAAATATTCAACTCTTTTCGTGTCTGCGATTAGAAGAAAAGAACAATGACAGAGAGATAAAGAGATAAAGTGAATTATTGTATTATGTCTCAAGACAACAGCGAGATGTTGCGCTCCTTCATCCGTAATTTCAATATGTCCAACATTCAGTGTACTCAGTATTTGTATTCGAAGAATAATTCGTCTCCGATTTAATTTTGTCCAATATTCAGTGTCGTTAGTGTCTGAATATGAACAAGAACATGAACATATGAGAGATAAACAGAACTTTAGAGCTAATTTGTTTTTTGTCAAAGCATCAACGATATGTTTTGCGCTCTCATCTGCTATTTTATTTGTTCCAATATTCAACGTGATCAGTATCTGTGTTCAGAGTAGAAAGTGAATGCCCAATGGATAAAGAAAGAACAATATTTACCCTATTACTTCTCGAAATATCAGCGAGATGTTGTGCACCTTCTTCTCCGATTTCGTTTGCTCCTAGATTTAGTGTAGTGACAAAAAAAATAAACATGAGAGATACAAAGAAAAAATAAGGATCATCACGTTGTCTTTCAGGGTATATTGGAGACGTGAGACGCCTTGACGTCCTATTTGATTTTCCCAAAGATTAAATGTTGTGAATGTCTGTATGCAGAGAAGAAAGAGAATGAAAAATAACCTCAGAAATATATGGTAGAAATGAAAATCGCCGTGATGTTTTGTAAAGCTTCAGAAATGTATTGCACTTACGAGGGAGCATTCTCAACTGTCACATCGCTTTTAAGCTGGACGTATGCGCATTATGTAGGCCCTCACGATCTATGAATTCTCTGAAAAAAGTTCGTGCTGCTAGCTTATTATTGCCGAGATACAGCTTTTTTACTGTATGTTTAAGAAAAAAAAACCCGTGGTCTCCCTCAGGAACATCGGAAAGCTGAATTTCGAATTTCGTCTTGAAACTTTGCAAAGATATAGGCCTCAATGAGAATACTTTATTGTGAAAGTTTCAGCTCTTTTCGCTGTTCCTATCCTAAGATATAGCTATCGTAAAATTGTTCATATACGCCAGCAGATCCGATGTTCTTATCTCAGACTAGGAGCACCCAAAAATTCTGAAACCTTCACAATAAACTGTTCTCATTGAGGCCTGTCTACATGCAAAGTTTCAGGTGGAAACTCAAAAGTCACTTTTCCTGATGTTCCTGAGGGGGCCACGGCTTTTTCCTTAAACATACAGTAAAAATGCTGTATCTCAGCAGTAAGAAGCTAGCAGCACGAACTTTTTTCAGGACATTCATAGGTCATTAGGGCCTACATAATGTCCATACGCTCGACTCAAAAGCGATGTGACAGTTGGGAATGTTCCCTCGTTAGTTACTTGACAATTTTTTTGTTCCATTGATGTTACAGTTTATTTTCTGCTTCTAAACAACAAAGTCAAACTTTCAGAAACACATGTACAATTTTTTTTCATGTTTCACGCATAATAATCAGGTGTTGCTTGCAGTAAAAATGAAGATATTCCTCCTGAACTCCAGAAAAAGACAGTATCTTCAACAGAAGTTTTCACTTCTATCAGAACGTAATTCCACATGGTAGTTGTTGGGAAAAAAGTATTGTGGTAGACGAAGTGCTATGTGTCATCGATTTCAGAAGTGAGAGGAGTAAGACTTGTGATGTATGCTACAAGAGAATGAGGTTGAGCATTGTCAATAGTGGAAATTAGTTGGATTTTATTAGGATGCTGCACATTATCAAGAAGGAAAATTTATATTTGAGAGTCATCAGCAACTTTATCTTCAGCGTACGTACGTGTGCATAAAAGAATCCTACTAGCATCAAGGGTTTAGTAATGCTTGATTTTTGTGAGCGGAAAAAGAAGCCGAACTTGTGAATCCTTCCATTAGCTTACGTGATCCAATCGACAGTTTTGGAAGCCATCGTTCTAATGGTGATGGCCAGTAAATCGATTGAAAAGATAGCTGGCAGAATTTCTTTTGACAAAAGTAAAATTGTTCAAATGACAATATGTTTCCTGCATGAGATAAAGATTATCCATGAATTCTTGTGCGTATCTTGTGGTGCTTTTTGTGATACGTGTTTGAAGATCTATACAATAAGAAAGTTCTATCAATGGGAAAAAAAAACTTTTTTATAAATTTTATCAAATTCGTTTCCGATCTGAAACATAGTCAAAGTATGAAGTGGTCCGAAGCCATATATTGTATCCGATATATGTGCCAAGAAATTGATAACTTCTATACAATATCTTGTACCGTAAACCTTAGAGATAATTGACTACGAAATTTTGACTATGACGACTGATAACATTAATGTGCGAAGGATGAGTTTCTCGGTTTTCGCACAGGTGCATCATCATGACCAATTTCGAGAAATGCTTATAATATTTCTTTTTTAGTACATTCTTGATAATGATATGTCCAAACAAGCGCAAAATTCGCGTTTCATTAGATTTATATGTTGAATATGAAGTAACACAGGGTAGTAACGGTAATGTGGTGGATGAAAAATGAAATCTCCAGTAAACTAACTGAAACTCATCTACATGAGTACTAATGCTTCAATCTTGACAGAGATAGTCGAGATCAAACGACAGGTGCAGCAATCTTTTCTAGAATGATAAGAAACACAGAAATACCATGAGAGTATTCAAACAATCTACTTACGAATGCTCTAATATGCATCTGGAGTAGCGTGTCAGCCAAGAAATAACATCCAACATGAAACTAAAATAATTTTATCAAGATATATGCTCTGATAATTCTCTTTTCCTCTGCATGCTTTATGCTGCTCCATCAATGAATTTCTTTGTCGAGGTGAAAATGATTATCATATCTGCTCACCAAGTAGCTTTAAATCAAGTAAAATGTTCAACTGCATGTTAGATCGTAAATCAATATCTTCAAAAGCATGCAATGTCATTGTGAAGCTTCGTATATTTCCATTCTTCTCCGTTTAGACCATAAAGCCTAGAAATATTCTTTCTTCTATACTCGTTGCTTCTTCAAAAACAAAATTATATACCTTTTATTTCACATCTTCCACATCCGAATGTGACCGTGGGTTCTGGATAAAAATGTAATAATGCTTGTGCAGGTTTGTCACAGTATGCACAAATGACAAAGACACGTGTGACGGTAGAAGTGTTACAGTCGTTGCTAAAATCGAACTTTGTAGCTTGTTCGAGCGTGATAAAACCATCAACAAGAGGACGAAAAAGCACGCATTTCTATGTGTGATGGCTTGTTTGGACCTGGTTACACTTTCTCGAGAATTATATTTTGTTATAAAAAACCATCTTTTCAGAGGAAGTTCATTGATGACAAGTAAGATTGGCCATATAGTTTGTTGAGAGTGTTTATGATTGTGAATGCTATCGATCTGTAAAGTGAATGTTAAAAATGATTCTTGCATTTCATTCTGTAGTCTTTGATGAAGGGCTCCCTCATGTATATCTTTCATAGACGTAGCATAAGAATGATGTGCAGAAAAATGTTTCCATCGTAGTGTAGGATTCGTCCAATTTGATTGTAAATCAAGAAAGAGAGAAAACAATTCGACTTGTTGATAGAACTTAAATGACTGTTGCACTGAGAGCACACAGCACAATTTGTTGTCGCTTGATGATAGGCGGAATAGATAAATATTTCATAGGGACTGATTGTCTTGGTGTGAAAGATTTTTTTTGAAGGAGGTACCAACTTGAAAGTAAATTTGAAACATTCGATGTCCTTAAGATAGAAATAATATCATCGATGCAATGTGCAGAAAGACGTAGGTGTCTCTTCAAAAGTACTAATGCACAAGAAGCATTTTTCTTCTATGGCACTGAATTGTGTAATCAAATAGTAATTGTTTAATTTATTTCTGTGTTAATAAGAAAAAAAATAAAACGAGAAACAGTGAAGCATTAGTCATTCATGACATCATTTAACAGTGTTGTTTCCTTAATGTCGATATTAGATGTAATAGCATCATGATTCGTATTATTAGCGTTGATTGAGTTAATATCAATAATATCATCAGTTGATGCGTTTACGTTATCTTCGTTAGCATGACGTTGATGAAATACCTGATCTATTATATCTTTCCAATTTTAATTATTCATTTATCAAGGAGATTTCCCGAATTGAAAAGTTCAATGTTGAAGCCATTGTTGCCTCCAGCATTTCGTGCGATTTTTTCTTACTCTTTACATATCTGCAGCAGCAAAGAAAAAAAGAAGAATTATATAATACAATTCATCTGATATTAATTAAATAAAAAGTATGTTTCACGCACATAACAAAAAGAGAATATCACTGACATGTTATCATCTACTTATATTTTAAAAGAAAGGACATAGTAATTTCTAATCGGATTTAAATCAAATTTCAACTTTAAATCATAATTTCTTTTCAGCGCCAACGTCACTTCCTTCTCATCATTACGATGTTTCAAATTGTTTTTATGTGGTTTAGCTACGCAAAAGTTTCCCATCGCATGATGAAGATTCCCGTCAGTATATATTTTCTCTTCCTGTAGATGCATCAAACGCGCATGTTCTAAATACAGAAATAGAATAAGTAAATAAATATATTTATATAATGAAAGAAAATCATGAATTTTCGCCTCGAGCAGTAGCAACATGTTCACAATCAACTTCAGCAAATTTGAAGCCAATGGG